ATGTGTACTTAATTTCGGGCATGTAAATCACTATCTGATGTATCCACCACGTAGGGCGATAAGTTGCCCTTGGTATTGCCCGCCATTCCGCCTGAGAGCTAACCCAAGCCTGGTCTCTGGCATACGCTCTCCCACAGATGCTCTATTGGGGACATGTACGGGACTTAGATGGCCAGTCCATTGGCCGTTTGCCTTCTCGTCGAAAATAATGGGTGTCGACCTGGGCACGATGTGGCCTGGCATTACCATCTCACAGTTCAACATTCCTGCCGATAATTGTTGCGAATGGTGCAACGACAGGACGCAAAATCTCGTCAGCATGTGACCAGGCAAATATCAATTCACAATAACTAAATCAGTTCGCCTGTCATGTACGATCCAGCCCTACACCATGACACTGCCGTCCCCATAGCTATCACCGTCAAGAATTGTTGCCCTGGCATACTGATCGCCGCTAGGTCGACAACTACTGCGTCGCCATGGTGCACCTAGTCGTTAGTAACGCCTTTTTATCAGGCGGGCTGCATACAACCAGTTTTTAAAGTAGATGTTGAAATTTGCCTTCCTGTTGTGACGTGCAATGAATGAAATGAGATGAACTGATCTAGGTGTCCTTGTCCAGGCCTGCCACGCCCAGGTCACATTGCACCCCAACCCGTTTGGCGGTGCTTGTCCCACAGACGAGAAATTACTCTTTTTGATATCCCAAACTTTGGGGCAACCGTCATAATATATGCAAACCTTTTAAATGCTAATGTTTCAGTTACTTACTTAAGTCTGCGTGTTGGTTTATACTCCAGGTATTACACCAGTCAGAAACACTCTGAAAGCAAACATGAAATAACATATGGCTATATTTATATTGACGATGAGATGTGTCGACTAGAATGCAGAATATACCCTCTGCGCATGTTCTGGATTAAACAAAAGATTACCATTGACTCACATTCAGTGTTTGTTGCATGTGTGTGAACTGTTTGTTGTTATCTGCTTGTGACAGACAAGATTGCAAACACCTGTAGCGGGAAACTGGAGGAGGGGAGTTTATCATCCTTGTGTTTATTGTAGTCTCAGGTCCTTTATTTAAGATCCTTGCGGGTGGCAGATGTTGTGAAAGAATCCTCCATGAGCGTCCCTAAAAACTCAGGTCAGATGGAGCACTTTGAAAGCTTTCAATAATACATCGTATGATGTTTTCGATGAATATTTAAACCCGCGGCTAAAACTTTCAGGATGTTTTTACTGTATTACGCTGACAGCTGACGCCTTGGAATGTTTCGTAAAAACACATCATATCGTAGTTGATAACGTTCGTAAGCATTTATCCCCCGCATACAACACAGGCTGCATCATCACCAACAGTTCACTCAGCATCCTCACTGAGAGACGCCCAATTTGTCGAAGGTGTTCATACAGTATATCACCATACAGTAGGCAGTTACTTCATCAGACAGCAGTCACATCATCATACAGTAGGAAGCCACTTCACCATACAGTAGGCAGTCACATCATCATGCAGCGATGACACCATCATACAGCAGGCAGTCACATCATCATACAGTAGGCAGTCACATCACCATACAGCAGTGAAATCAACATACAGCAGGCAGTCTCATCACCATATAACAGTCACATCATCATATAGTAGGAGGTCATATCACCATACAGCAGTCACATCATCATACAGCAGTCACATCACCATACAGTAGGCAGTCACTTCACCATACAGTAGAAAGTCACTTCAGCATACAGCAGGCAGTCATTTCATCATACAGTAGGAAGTCACATCATCATACAGTAGGCAGTCACATCATCATACAGTAGGCAGTCACATCATCATACAGTAGGCAGTCACATCACTATACAACAGGCAGTCAATTCATCATACAGTTGGCAGTCACATCATCATACAGTTGGCAGTCACATCATCATACAGTAGGCAGTCACATCATCATACAGTAGGTAGTCACATCATCATACAGTAGGAAGTCACATCATCATACAGTAGGCAGTCACATCATCATACAGTAGGCAGTCACATCATCATACAGTAGGCAGTCACATCATCATACAGTAGGCAGTCACATCACTATACAACAGGCAGTCAATTCATCATACAGTTGGCAGTCACATCATCATACAGTTGGCAGTCACATCATCATACAGTAGGCAGTCACATCATCATACAGTAGGTAGTCACATCATCATACAGCATGCAGGCAGTTCATCATACAGTAGGAAGTCACATCATCATACAGTAGGAAGTCACATCATCATACAGTAGGCAGTCACATCATCATACAGTAGGCAGTCACATCACTATACAGCAGGCAGTCAACTCATCACACAGTAGGAAATCACATCATCATACAGTAGGCAGTCACATCATCATACAGTAGGCAGTCACATCACTATACAGCAGGCAGTCAACTCATCACACAGTAGGAAGTCACATCATCATACAGTAGGCAGTCACATCATCATACAGTAGGCAGTCACATCACTATACAGCAGGCAGTCAATTCATCATACAGTAGGAAGTCACATTATGATACAATATGCAGCGACATCAACATACAGTAGGAAGTCACTTCATCATACAGTTGGCAGTCACATCATTATACAGTAGGCAGTCACATCATCATTCAATAATGCAGTAGGCAGTCACTTCACCATACAGTAGAAAGTCACATCATCATACAGCAGGCAGTCAATTCATCATACAGTAGGAAGTCACATCATCATACAGTAGGCAGTCACATCATTATACAGTAGGCGGTCACATCATCATACAGTAGGAAGTCACATCATCGTAAAGTAGGCAGTCACATCATTATACAGTAGGCAGTCACATCATCATTCAATAATGCAGTAGGCAGTCACTTCACCATACAGTAGAAAGTAACTTCAGCATACAGCAGGCAGTCAATTCATCATACAGTAGGAAGTCACATCATTATACAGTAGGCAGTCACATCATTATACAGTAGGCAGTCACATCATCATACAGTAGGAAGTCACATCATCGTAAAGTAGGCAGTCACATCATCATACAGCAGGCAGTCACATCACCATACAGTATGCAGTCACTTCATCATACAGTAGACAGTCAATTCAGCATACAGTAGGCAGTCACATCATCGTACAGTAGGAAGTCACATCATCATACTGTAGGCAGTCACATCATCATACAGAAGACAATCACATCACAATACAGTATGCAGTCACTTCATCATACAGTAGACAACGTTGAGAGAAATCTTGAGACATGCCTGTCAGTTTACAACTATATCAGATTCACATTGATGTTCAAGACGAATATGTGTTCATTTCATTTATACAAAATGGGAATATATTGACATCGGTATAATTATCACAGCTCATAAAAGCCGCCCATTGTGTTGTGTCTGCTTGTGTGGCTTCATCAAGTCCATGGGTATTGTATAGATCAAATACATTAACTTACGTGTCGTTACCTGCTCAAGTCAACCGCTGACTTGAGACAGTTGTTTTCAGCTACAGACGGTGTACCGTTGTTTCATAGATGATATATAAATTACTTTTCATATTCATTGCACACTTGAGAGAAGAGCGTCAGCAAATGTGAGTGGCATCTACTGTGCATGATTTAGTTCGGAGGAGAGAATTCACATTCCATTAAAGGGTTGACGATCCTCATAGTTCTGTGAGGCAGCATTTGGAATGAATGGCATCATCAGCACAACAACAGATTCACCCATTATAACGTTACAGATGATTGTTCGGTTCCATGTCGATTGCCCTTGTATCCTTCTGCTGAAACTCTGTGACCTCACAAATGTCTATCTGTCTATCTATCTGTCTGTATTGAAAAAATGTAAGGAATAGAATACACTGAAATCTTGAGAAATGTAATGAAGACATTGTGTCTTGTCATGTTATTTAAGTATGATACAACTTTAAGCAAAACATGGTAACTCTCGAAAGTAGAATTAACATGTTTGCACCACTTCATTCCAGTGAGTGAGTGAATGAGTGATTGAGTGAGTTGGGTTTAACGCCGCTTTTAACACTATTCCAGTTATATCGCGGCGTGTCAGCTTTATGTGGGAGGCAAGCCCGAAGGATGCAGGTCTCAGACGTTTACCACTTCGGTGAAACCCACGAGCACGGGTATGGTGCTGAGAAACCTAGAAACATAATTGGGGCGAACCGGCATTCGAACCCATAGGTTTCTGGCGTGCCCAAGGGACGCAACTCTGCACAGCGAATCGCGGCGCCTTAGACGACTGGGCAACCCTGGGCACGTTCGTCTAAACACTTCACTGGTGTGTTACTCACCTATACAGGTCAAACATACACCTTTGATGCCATTACAATCATACACCGTTGTGTCGAACTTTGATGTCTCGAAGTGAAAACATGGTTCCTGTGTTTTCCCTCTTTAATCATCATTTTCGGTTCTGTCGAAAGTCGGATAACTCAAAGTATGCAAGTAGGCCCCTTCAACTTCGACACAGCAGTGTTTGACTGTATATGTTTTCTGCTTTTCTAGACGAGCAACTTGTACATTTCTCTTGTCGTTAAGTATAATGTTAAGAGTCGTTTTTGTAAACTTTAATGGACACCTATATTGGAGCCGTGATATAGCTAGCAAGAGCAAGACAGACAGCATGGACAACTAAGAGTCGTTTTTGTAATCTTTAATGGACACCATCTGACTCAAGTATTGCTAACTACATGGGCATCCGATGGAATTTTCCGGTCGTATCTACCTTATATCTTCAATTGCATTCAATATTACTTGTTATATTTATACATAATGTATGCCAAAGGGGCATACTCGAGGATTAGCCTGTAGCATGGATATTCTATCTTCGTGGCAATGTCTTTATTTCGTTGTGTTTTTACATTTCTGGTAATTAGGAATCTGTGTTATGAAATATAGCCACTTGGAGATCATTTTGTTTTTCACAAATGCCCAAACTGAACATGCAATAACCCTGTGACTGATGTTTCAGGTTCGTTGTGTCCGCACTGCCAGATTCCGGAGATTTTCTTCAAGATAATATTCTGGCTTGGTTACTGCAACTCTCTCATGAATCCAATCATCTATGCGTGCTCCAGCAGGGAGTTCCAGCGTGCTTTCAAGCGTATACTGTTGTGTCAGTTCCGGCGGCGTCCACGGCTCTTTCAGCAGAAGAGTGAACGATCGTCGTCGATGGATGTGAGCCGCAGTCATTCTACCTCAGAGGTGCATCGTCAGGCCTCGAGGATCTACAGACCAGTGTCCCTCAAGGGCCCGTCTTCCGCCAAAAAGGCAGTCCCTCAGGAGTATCATAGTGCCTCAAACATTCTTTCCCGGGGTACCCCCGACTCCCCTCTACATAGCTTGAGAATATTCCAGATGAAGAGGAAGGCGTACTGCGAGGACAGTGGTGATGAGAGCAGCTGTAAGACGGACAGTGGAACAGGCAAGACTTTGAATGACACACGGGAATCACTCCTGCCTGATCAATGTCTTCATAGAGGTGACTCCTTGATACATAGGAGACAAAACTCCTCAACGTGTTTAGACGAAAGTAGCTTTGCCGATGATGAAGAATATGTTAACTCTGTAATTGTGAACAGCAGGAATCATAAGAGAGTTAAAGAAACCACGTATACCGTACCAGATGTCCCACTTATATTGATTAGGTGTGATTCAGGATCCGACGCTGATGAAACCACGCCATTCACGGCTGATTGTACCAGTTAGTCTTCTTTTCAAACAAAATGTTCCCCATCCTTCAAGTGGAAACACAGTGAGATGCATTCATATATGCAGGCGGCTGGCTGAGACGGGCGAGAGAGATGCACCGAGAAGCAATACTCTTCTCTGTAGGGGAGTGTGCGTTTTATGGTGGATTTAGAGGCAAAACCTTTTGACATGTCCCCAATCATGATTAAAACTGCTATAAAGCATGTATTGCACTTGAGGAAAATTAAATTCATTGACCTGCACATGTGTCGAGCTCAACGTGCAAGTAAATATAGTTTCATACCTGACAGTAAGGAAAATAACTGATGAACTATTTATGTGTAAGTGGTGCTCTGAACTGCCAAAGCAATCAGAGTGAGTATTATCAGAACGGGTCTAGAGATGAACAGATATGTAGACACACTTTCCAGTTGCAAGTAAAGCCGGAAAATAACTAGCGAGGCACCTGAGTAGAGCATTAACGTGGACGAGGCGAGGAGCAGCATTATTCGCGTAGCTCTCCTACACTATTGATGACCGTGAGTGTTTCTGCTGGGTATTGAATCAGGCATCTGATGTTCACCCGAGTGAAGCTGGTAATATTCCACACAACCTGGCTGTGGATACGCTGGTACTGTCACGTGCTGCGCTACACGAGCTGGCTCTTGGAGTCATTAGAGTTTATTTTGAAACACTAAAATGACACTACGCTTGACATGCTGATGTACATGTATGTAGTCAAAGTAGTTAGTGTATGGTATGGATAAATTATATTTTTAACAAGAATGTTCTTCAATTAGATGTTTTTTGTTGATTGAATAATGTCTCAGTCTTCACACATAGCACGGCGACTCTGCGTAGTGTATACTTGTGTCGATATTAGTGTCCATAGCTACTTGGCACACGGTGACACAATGTATACTTGTGTCGATATTAGTGTCCATAGCTACTTGGCACACGGTGACACAGTGTATGCTAGTTTCGATGTTGGTGTCCATAGCTACTTGGCACACGGTGATGTTAGTGTCAGTTTGGGATGCGTGACACAGTGTTAGTGTCGATATTAGTGTCCCTTGGGATACGTGAAACATGGTTGGCTTGTGTCGATATAAGCTCCACTGGGAAACAGTGTACTAGTGTTGGTATGAGTGTCCTTTTTAGTACACATTACACAGAGTATAATTTTATTGGTATTTGTGTATACTTGAAACAAGTGATACAGTACATGATTTATATTGTATTGGTATTCGTGTACATTGGGACCGGTCCCCGAAACTGCATGTGACAGCTCCATAAGTGCTGGCTCTATCTATTAACGTTATGCGACTTCAGCACACACCGATCTCTATGATGACTGACGTGCAGCTGTACGCTCCTTCAACACACAACGCTCTCTAAGATGACTGACATTAACTTAATGCTACTCCCAACACACAACGCTCTCTATGACGACAGACATTTACGTTATTCGCCTTCAACACACAACGCTCTCTAAGATTACTGACATTTACTTTATTCGCCTTCAACACACAGCGCTATCTATGACGACAGACATTTACTTTATTCGCCTTCAACACACAATGCTCTCTAAGATTACTGACATTTACTTTATTCGCCTTCAACACACAATGCGATCTAAGTTGAGAGCGTTGTAACTTTATGTTACTTCAGGACATAACGCTCTCTAGGACTACTGACATTAACTTTATGCTCCTTCAACACACAACGCTCTCTAAGAAGAGAGCCTTGTAACTTTATGTTACTTCAAGACATAACGCTCTCTAGGACTACTGACATTAACTTTATGCTCCTTCAACACACAACGCTCTCTAAGATGAGAGCCTTGTAACTTTATGTTACTTCAAGACATAACGCTCTCTAGGACTACTGACATTAACTTTATGCTCCTTCAACACACAACGCTCTCTAAGATGAGAGCCTTGTAACTTTATGTTACTTCAAGACATAACGCTCTCTAGGACTACTGACATTAACTTTATGCTCCTTCAACACACAACGCTCTCTAAGAAGAGAGCCTTGTTACTTTATGTTACTTCATCACACAAAGTTCTCTAGGATGACTGACGTCTTACTCTTTGCTACTTCAACACACAACGCTCTCTACGAAACGGACGTGTAACTTAATGCTACTTCAACACACAACTTTGTCAATGAGACCGCCTCCGTGGTCGTATGGTAGAGCGTCCACCCGGAGAGCGGAAGGTCCGGGGTTCGATCCACTGGCCGCATCATACAAAGAGACGTTAAAGGATGGTACAGTACTTGTAATCCTGCCTGGTGTTCGGCAGGCAGGGTATGTTCGGCATAAAGGGACTAAAACGAGGACTGGTCGGCTTGGAGTCAGTATACCATGTCTGAGTGGGGCATTCATGTTAAACTGCGACATGGTCACTCAGTGGGCAAGCACTATCAATCGGCATTAGTCCGGACAGGTTAGTACATGCAGCCCGACACACACGTGCATGCACGTCGCTATATAAGTGCAAACATCTTGCACGCGACGTTAAACCAAATTTCACGTCACCTCACGTTGTGAATGATGACAGACGTGTGGCTTTATGTTCATAACACACAACGCCCTTTAAGATGACTGATCTGTAGTTTATCATACCTGAATATACAACGCCCTTTAAGATGACTGATCTGTAGTTTATCATACCTGAATATACAACGCCTTTTAAGATGACTGATGTGTAGCTTTATTATATTTGAATATACAACGCCCTTTAAGATGAATGATGTGTAGCTTTATCATACTTGAAAATACAACGCCCTTTAATATCACTGCTCTGTAGCTTTATCATACTTGAATATACAACGCCCTTTAAGATGACCGATGTGTAGCTTTATCCCACTTGAAAATACAACGCCCTTCAATATCACTGATCTGTAGCTTTATCATACTTGAATATACAACGCACTTTAAAATGACTGATCTGTAGCTTTATCCCACTTGAAAATACAACGCCCTTTAAGTCACCCTTTAAGATGACTGATTTGTAGCTTTCTTCCACTTGAATATACAACGCCCTTTAAGATGACTGATTTGTAGCTTTATCATACTTGAAAATACAACGCCCTTTAAGATGACTGATGTGTAGCTTTATCATACTTGAAAATACAACGCCCTTTAAGATGACTGATCTGTACCTTTATCCAACTTGTAAATACAACACCCATTAATGTGACTGATCTGTAGCTTTATCATACTTGAAAATACAACGCCCTTTAAGATGACTGATGTGTAGCTGTATCCCACTTGAAAATACAACGCCCTTTAAGATGACTGATTTGTAGCTTTATCATACTTGAAAATACAACGCCCTTTAAGATGACTGATTTGTAGCTTTATCATACTTGAAAATACAACGCCCTTTAATATCACTGATCTGTAGCTTTATCATACTTGAAAATACAACGCCCTTTAATATGACTGATATGTAGCTTTATCATACTTGAAAATACAACGCCCTTTAATATCACTGATCTGTAGCTTTATCATACTTGAAAATACAACGCCCTTTAATATGACTGATGTGTAGCTTTATCATACTTGAAAATACAACGCCCATTTATATGACTGATGTATAGCTTTATCATACTTGAATATACAACGCCCTTTAAGATGACTGATGTGTAGCTTTATCCCACTTGAAAATACAACGCCCTTTAAGATGACTGATGTGTAGCTTTATCCCACTTGTAAATACAACGCCCTTTAAGATGACTGATGTGTAGCTTTATCCCACTTCAATATACAACGCCCTTTAAGTTGAATGATCTGTAGCTTTATCATATTTGAATATAGAACGCCCTTTAAGATGAATGATCTGTAGCTTTATCATATTTGAATATAGAAGGCCCTTTAAGATGAATGATCTGTAGCTTTATCATACTTGAAAATACAACGCCCTTTAATATCACTGATCTGTAGCTTTATCATACTTGAATATACAACGCCCTTTAAGATGACTGATGTGTAGCTTTATTATATTTGAATATACAACGCCCTTTAAGATTAATGATGTGTAGCTTTATCATACTTGAAAATACGACTTTAATATCACTGATCTGTAGCTTTATCATACTTCAATATACAACGCCCTTTAAGATGACTGATTTGTAGCTTTATCCCACTTGAAAATACAACGCACTTTAAGATGAATGATGTGTAGCTTTATCCCACTTGAAAATACAACGCCCTTTAAGATGACTGATGTGTAGCTTTATCCCACTTGAAAATACAACGCCCTTTAATATGACTGATGTGTAGCTTTATCCCACTTGAAAATGAAACGCCCTTTCAGATGACCGATGTGTAGCTTTATCCCACTTGAAAATACAACGCCCTTTAAGATGACTGATGTGTAGCTTTATCCAAATTGAAAATACAACGCTCTTTAATATGACTGATCTGTAGCTTGAATATACAACGCCCTTTAAGATGACTGATGTGTAGCTTTATTATATTTGAATATACAATGCCCTTTAAGATGAATGATGTGTAGCTTTATCATACTTGAAAAAACAACACTCTTTAATATGACTGATCTGTAGGTTGAATATACAACGCCCTTTAAGATGACTGATTTGTAGCTTTATCCCACTTGAAAATACAACGCACTTTTAGATTACTGATGTGTAGCTTTATTCCACTTGAAAAAACAACGCCCTTTAAGTTGAATGATCTGTAGCTTTATCATATTTGAATATAGAACGCCCTTTCAGATGAATGATCTGTAGCTTTATCATACTTGAATATACAACGCCCTTTAATATGACTGATGTGTAGCTTTATCCCACTTGAAAATACAACGCCCTTTAAGATGACTGATGTGTAGCTTTATCCCACTTCAATATACAACGCCCTTTAAGTTGAATGATCTGTAGCTTTATCATATTTGAATATAGAACGCCCTTTAAGATGAATGATCTGTAGCTTTATCATATTTGAATATAGAACGCCCTTTAAGATGAATGATCTGTAGCTTTATCATACTTGAAAATAAAACGCCCTTTAATATCACTCATCTGTAGCTTTATCATACTTGAATATACAACGCCCTTTAAGATGACTGATCTGTAGCTTTATCATAATACAACGCCCTTTAAGATGACTGATGTGTAGCTTTATCCCACTTGAAAATACAACGCCCTTTAAGATAACTGATGTATAGCTTTATCCCACTTGAAAATGAAACGCCCTTTAAGATGACTAATGTGTAGCTGTATCCCACTGGAAAATACAACGCCCTTTAACATTAATGATGTGTAGCTTTATCCCACTGGAAAATACAACGCCCTTTAACATTAATGATGTGTAGCTTTATCATACTTGAAAATACAACGACTTTAATATCACTGATCTGTAGCTTTATCATACTTCAATATACAACGCCCTTTAAGATGACTGATGTGTAGCTTTATCCCACTTGAAAATACAACGCACTTTAAGATGACTGATGTGTAGCTTTATCCCACTTGAAAATACAACGCCCTTTAAGATGACTGATGTGTAGCTTTATCCCACTTGAAAATACAACGCCCTTTCAGATGACCGATGTGTTGCTTTATCCCACTTGAAAATACAACGCCCTTTAAGATGACTGATGTGTAGCTTTATCCAAATTGAAAATACAACGCTCTTTAATATGACTGATCTGTAGCTTGAATATACAACCCCCTTTAAGATGACTGATGTGTAGCTTTATTATATTTGAATATACAACGCCCTTTAAGATGAATGATGTG